CGAGCTGTTCGTGCCCCAACAAGTACTCGGAATGGCCCGTATCTAGTAGATGTGCAGTAATCGATGAGCGAGGAGTTCTGTTTTCTTGCTTCAACAACCAGCTGGGTAAGTGCTCCTTGGCTTTGGTGGCTAATTGCCTTTGCGTTCGCCCTCTGTATGCATGTATGAATTCAATTTTGTATTTTCTCTTACGCTATTGACGTTACGCAACGAAAGGAAGCATCTGATGAGCACCTTCGAAATTAATGGATCCAATGAATTTTGTTGTTTACACAGTCTTCAAAAGAGGGCATAATGAGCCCGAATAAGTGCTGTATCCATCCGTATCTACATCTTTCGTCAAATTGCTTTATACCTATTTCAGGTATTAGATGACAATTAGTTTCAGATCGTTCTTTGAATTCCGGCAAATTTTCCACGATTTTCAGTGTTTTCAAACTTCTTTTCTACAAATGTGGTTTCTGTTCGACTTTTATATCAAAACCTTTAAAATAAAATATTTCTTAAAACCATTTATCTAAGACGTGACTTTTCGGATATTAGTTCGTACGAAGATGGCCATGTGGACCATATTTATAAACTCCCCGAAACCCCAAAACATATTTTCAAGCCAAAAGAAGGTCCACAACAGATGCCTGATATTGTTATGCCGAAGATCAGTTAAAAAAACATTGTGTAATGGTTTACCTCCTTAAAAATCACTGTAAGTAGATATTCAGCTGACGAATATCCGTACATTTTGCCTATTTGAAGATAACGTCAGTGAAAATGTTTAATTTTGACCCGTTTTTTAGTTTACCTGAAACTACGTGATACAATTTTGGCTGGAAATGAAGGGACTTACTTTTCTCCTTATATTCGAACATTACTATCTGTTCTAAGATTGAAAATGCAAAAAAGAGTGGCCGAATATATACTAAAATTTTGCGAAAACTATTAATCTTCGGGCTGTCGCGTTTCTAAATTACACAGTAGCAGGAAATATATTGTACAACAAAGCAGTTTGCCATGTACTTTAGGTGTATAAAAGTTGTTTTTACCTTCATGCACACGATAAAATATATGCTCTTTTGGTTTATGGTTCCAAATCCTCGATGCGATGGAACAAAATACGGTTCAAACTTTTTTACTGCGGTTTGTAACAAAAAATACAGACACTGGAAAAAAAATTTTTACAAATGACATTTTTCCTTGTGAAGAAGAGGACTCGATCACTGGGACAATGTGTGTATTCGCCTGACGTTTCGACATCCATCGCGGATTCATCGTCAGAGACATAATCATAGAATAGCGGCAGATACAGGTAGTTTGTGCACAGGAGTCTGCCGTAAAATTTAAACGTGCAGAAAAAATCGATAAATGTGCAGATTGTGCGCTGATTTGTTCTGTCAGCAATGACCAACTGGCCCTGCGGTGTTGGCATAGTATGATGCGGTGGCAATTTTTCCTTGTTTCTGGATAACAGTGAGGTCCCTTAAATTTGCCTTTATGTGACTTTGATAAACTTAAGACTGGATTTTGCAGTTCTGGATGGAACGTATTTTAAATTGTTTTTCTAATATTGGTGGTCTCCTATAGCACGATGCATGAAAGTAAAGGATTTGATTCTATCATGGCATAGGAAATTTGTTCGATTTCGGGCAATCTCCTTTTTCTCCAGAATTCTGCCTGTCTCCCTTGAATAAACTGAATTAAACAGGCAGTTTTCCGCATCAAAAGGCTTTCTCAGAATTAAATCCACTCATGAGATCAAAATATCCAGATTGTATGCATGCTAAATTACAAACCCCAATATAGATCATGACTTTACATGAGTTAGCTCACCTACTGTATGTCTTCACGCCTTCTGATATCGTGGCTTGACCGAGTTCAGCCTGGCTGGTAGTTGCCTGTTCGTGACCTCAGTCACCCAGTTCGGATTTCGTGTGCTTCGCGATCCCAGTGGATTAGTGCGCGTCACGTAAGCTCTTGCATTAGGCCCATCGAGTGCTAATTCACTACAACCATATTTTGCAGAATTTTGAACAAGGACTAGGGGTCGACTTGCTTGTTAGGAAACTGGCGTCAGCTGTCTCGTCATAGTATTTACAATCATTGCAAGCATACAACACGTGACATAAGGCATCACACGTGACGACCGAAATTTAGAGGATTAGTTCAAGGCGCCTCGGACGCAGTGCTTTTCACTTTGTGACTAAGCGCATTCCACACAGAGAGTCTTCTGCTCATGCAGAAAATGCTTCTAAGTAGTGTTATCAAAGAAAATGTTTGCAAGCTTAAACTGGAATCAATGTCATCTCACATCCACGTAAATGTCTTAGATTACATCATCACTGGTGTCTTTTTTTGGTAGAGGACATTACTCTAGATATTTATTGCAATTATCGCCGCCAACAACGTAGAAATTGTTTTTTATTCCCGTGTTCACATTAGCAAATGGGTGTTCTTTCACACCCTACAAAGTAGCAGTAGTCGATTTGACAGATTTAAACGATAATGCCACTTTTTTACCGGCCAAGGCACTCTTCGGCCTTTGGTGTGGAATCGATAGCACAAACGTTAAGATGTAAAAACTTGCCGTATATTGCGAACTTGGTAATGACTCGTATTTACCTATTCATGGTACCTACCAACTTCATAATCATGTGTATTAACAACGACCTCGAAGTCTGAGTTCCCATTGGAACAACCAACCATGAATTACTTTAAAGCTCACGTAAGCCAATTTTTTTTAGCAGAAGCTTGCGAAAATACTCAGTTACTGTGGTGAATAGTTGACTAAGGACTTTCCAGACATCTGGTCCCTTCTCTTCCCTTTTGCGTTTCTGAATTGTTTTCCGAAATTCTTCATGTAATACATATACTCTGCGTTGTATTATATGTCTGCTTGTACACTCTGTCAAGCCTGTTTTCTCTACCAGCTGAAGATGCTTAGTGTGGAACTGTTAAGGTCAGTAGGCCGATTTCGTCACTTGCTTTTAAATTCCGTTCTGTGGCATCTTGCTTGTGTTCAAGCGAACAGCATAACAACGCGATTGACAGTAGCCTGGCGCCAATAAGGAAACATCTCTACTTGGCGCTAGATGCCATGGCTGTTGTGTTCGTTGTTCCCTCCTTAAGCAACCGACACCGCCATACAGTCCACATATGCTTCAGCTGACCTCTGCGGCCAAACATTGTTAAACCGTATCAGCGGAGACCACCGTCAGACTACTTGGCTAAGCTTCTGATCATCAGACCGCCTTCTTTTCTGCCAAAGATGCATTCCGCCGTCTCCTCTAATCACTGGGTCAATTAAGCAGATTAGTGATCCTTATAAGCGAACTAATTTCGAGGCTGTTTGACTAATTGACCCAAATGAGCCGCTAACCCAAGTAATCAATGGCCCACTTAATTGGCCTGCAGTGCTCTTCCAAAATGAATTTCTTTGTGAATAAATGAAAAGGTTCGCGTTCCAGG